GCTGGTGAGCCTGAACGTGAACTTTGAAATGCCCTCTCGACCTCTAATCCATGCGCAGATGTTTTTTCAGGGGAGGAGCCACACTGTTGCTGTTCTCATTGATTCTGCTGCAGATTCTAACCTTCTTGACAGGGATCTGGCCGCAAAGATGGGGATTGGGCAGGTAACCCTGGACAGACCCATCCAGGCCACGGCATTGGATGGTCGTCTACACTGCAGGGTTACTCATCAAACCACTCCCCTGCGCATAGAGATGGCAGGTAACCACAGCGAAACACTCACCTTTCACATACTTTATGCACCTCATCAACCGGTCATACTGGGATTTCCATGGTTTAGGAGACATAATCCTCATATTGACTGGGCTACTGGAACTATTTTAGGGTGGAGCCCTCATTGTCACGCAGTTTGTCTAAAACCTCTTGCATCTCGTAGTCTGTCCGTGTCTCCTGAGAATCCAGATCTCACCAGCGTTCCTAAGGACTATCATGACCTGAGGGAGGTGTTCAACAAGGCTCTGGCCACCTCTCTACCACCTCACCGCCCGTACGATTGTGCAATAGACCTCGTTCCGGGCACATCGCCTCCCCGTGGCCGACTATTTTCCCTGTCTGCTCCAAGGTCAAGGACGATGGAGACTTATATTAACGACTCCTTGGCTGCTGGACTGATTAGACCGTCGTCATGCCCGGCAGGGGCTGGGTTCTTTTTCGTGAGTAAGAAGGACAAATCCCTGCGTACCATTTGGTCAGGATTAGGGAGCGGGATCAGTGGAAGACTGCCTTCAATACTCCCAGTGGACATTATGTGTATCTGGTCATGCCATTTGGGCTCACCAATGCCCCTGCTGTTTTTCAGGGGCTAGTGAATGATCTTCGGGATCTGCTTAATGTTTGTTTTAGTCTATCTGGATGACATTTTGATTTTTTCCAAGTCGACACAGGAGCACGTGATACATGTACAGCAAGTCCTCAATAGACTTCTAGAGAACCACCTCTTCGTAAAAGCCGAAAAGTGCATGTTCCACACCTCGGAGGTATCCTTTCTGGGCTTCATAGTCAATGCTGGCAGTGTTCAGATGGACCCTGCAAAGACCAGAGCAGTGGCGGACTGGCCTCAACCCTCCAAACGCAAGGAACTGCAGCGTTTTTTGGGCTTTGCAAATTTCTATCGGCGGTTCATCCGCAACTACAGTTCTGTGGCTGCCCCGCTCACAGCTCTCACCTCCACCCACATGACATTTCAGTGGACATCTGCAGCAGCAAGGCCATTTGGTGAATTAAAGACGCGATTCACCTCTGCTCTGTTTTCCCAGACCCCGCTCGCCAGTTCCCTCGCGCCACATATTGGCTTCCTCCCTGATCAAGGACTTCCACAAAGCACACCCAGATCAGGGAGTTCTGTCACACAATAGACCACATCATAGTTTACTTTCATCTTCACTGCATGTTATCTAACTCCCCTGTAATTTCAGATCCTCCCACATCATCAGCTCATGACCCTCACCTGGTTCTCCTTGCACTCACCTGAAGCACATCCCCTCATCAGCCACTCACTATTTAAGCCTGTCACATTCGTTTGTTCCGTGCCAGATTGTCTCGTGTGTTTTGCAGCGTTTTCCAAGTTACCCCGATTTACCTCTGTTTTGACCCTGCCTGCCTTTCGACCCCAGATTCTCTGCCTGCTCCTTTTCGGATTTGTTCGCCTTCCTGATTACCACCCTGGTTCTGACCTCCAGACACAAACAAAGAGGTGTTTAGCATATATGAAAACATAAATATTTAATGCATACATGCAGTATTTAAAACACTGAATGTATTCTCTCAGTCTGTGTGCTTCAAAGGTAAGCGGGATGAGGCTATAAATTAGGTCAAGAGAAAAGGCCTTACAATTGCATCACCAATCCAGAACCCAAAGCTGTTGCCTTCACGGAGTTCCACTGAGGAGCAGGCTGCACACTCAAGTACATTTTTGTTCTGAGGGGTTTGTTCTGTACCACGTTGTCAGTGGCAGCTTTGAGCGTCCAAAAACAAAAGATTTAAAATTATGTTAATATTTGTTTTTGAAAAATGGAATGTACCCAGTAATTGTAAAATCCATGCTTTTTCTGCACATCCTTGCATGACATACGCACGTCCTGTCTTTATGTGTGTTTGAGCTGCGCTACGGGCGAGCTCAAGATTCTAAAAAGCACTTTAGTCAGTTGCTGATTTAAATAAAAAAAATGTTTGACATACAATTCAGCCAATCAGCGTTCTTAAACAGACTCAGCCTGGGGCAACATTATTTTTGTTTTTTCCCGAGCTTGCGCATTCTTGTCAAGGCTGGTATCGGCAGACGGAAGACATTCTGGAGGAAGTTAAGAGCACTGATTTTATCGGCATTCAAGCAGACGAGACGATTGACATATACACAGTACATATATATTACTGATTATTATTGGATATATTATATTTTACGTAATTGCCTTTTAGGCTGGCAAAATAATATTGAAGTTCATCCTGAGACGTTAGTTGAAATTGATTTGATTGCCCTATCTAAAACATTTTCCACCAGCCACACTGCACGTGGTACTAACCAGAAAACAAAATGTGGAGAATGTGTTGATGCATAAAGATTCATGATGAAGTTTTCAGTGAAGAGACACCACCCTTTTACTCTGTTTCTCCTACAGCCCAGCACTAAAACACTTGTAAGGACATGATGCCTTACTGGTTTACCCCTTACTAACAAGGGCAACTAAAAGGTTTTTGTTACTGTGCAGCAGCTTCATTCAAGGAAATGTGATTCGTATTAAGTTTTCAAGGGAGATTTTTTTAAGAGCAAGACACTGTTGAAAATGGACTTGTAACGTAAACATAACTGAGATTCATTACATGTGATGAAGCACTTCAATTTTAAACCTGCACGGCTTTTCTAGCCTATACGTCACTTGTTCAAAAGTCTGGAAAAACACAGCAATTAATTGCATGCATTGTAAGTTTGTGATTTGTGATTTTGGGAAGAGTTAGACAATTGAATTGAACTACTTGGCCAAACAGACCATGTTCCTTCAGTGAGATATACAGTAAACAGATGGGAGAGACTCGACGAGAGGCCGAAAGTCTCAACAGCACTTGAGTCAGAGAAGTTAATTCAAATGACGTTCTCCGTGAAGAGAATTGTGGACCACGGGGGCAGAACCGTTAGACAAGAACTGACAAAGTCTTGTTTGGTCATTCTTCCAACTGCCAGTACAAAACCAGTGTGTTTGGGGAGCACTTTCTTGTTTCTTGTTATTCTGAGTTTGTATCACTATGGTTGAATGCACTTATTGTAAGTCACTTTGAATAAGAGCGTCTGCTAAATGACATGTAATGTAATGTAATGTAACATCAAGCTCCTCTATGAGACAAAGTACACATCTTTTTAGCAAATCACATCGAAAAAAAAAGGTTTTCAATACGAAAAGACAATGTATATACAATGTAATACAGAAGCCAATAACACATGAATTTACCTCCCAAACATAATGTAAACAAGGAGGAATAGAGATGAAACAAGTGGTTTTGAAAACCACAAATGAAGTCCCTGCACTCAAATTTCTCCTTAGTTTGCAACATTTCCAGGATTACATCGTTAGTGCTATCAGCTCTGCAGATAGGCTGTGAATTTCGTATTGAGAACCTTTTAGATGACCAAGAACTATTTTGAATATATGTGGCGGATAACAAATTACACAATGTATGCGGACTCATTATATGTTTGTCGGCGAAAGATTGATAATTAAGATTCCTCCCGTGGCTCTTTCTGCCGGCCTGAAACCACTTGTTTGGATGGGCGCCTTTTTGAAAGTTTTTCAGAAAAGCTCCCAAATCTTCCGAAAGAGCTCCCGTTCCTAACCTCTTCGACTAAGAGGGATAGTTGTTTGTTGTGGATCAGTGTGTGTGTGCATGTGTGTGTGTGTGTGTGTTTTGTGTGTGCGTGCGTGCGTACGTGTGCATTTAGAGCAGTCTAATACAAGAGGAAGTGGGTCATGGCTCCTCATGGGAACCACTCTGGTAGCTTGAACTTCCTCTTCATCATACATGTTTAATGATGGATTGTTACATGTTTAAATATCAGCAGCCCAGCCATTGCTGCTATTAAGGGGGAGAAAAACATTAACATAGATGAAAAAACACTTGCTTGCTCACACACAAACACACACATAGAAATTAACAACAATTGTGCCTTCTGTACGTACACTTTAGACCGTACACTCAGGAAAGATGATCAAACAGCCTGCAAGCTCTGCTGTGCACATAGCCATGCAAATAACACACATATCACACTCTACTGAACATACTGCGTCTATGGTGGTTTTAGTAAATTAAATAACCCAATTTCTTGGTATTTGTGTTTATGCCTGTAATATTCCTACAGTTTTCTTATGGATTTGTGTAGTCAATGAACTGGTTTTAATCGTTTTTTTCCAAGAGCCAAGTTTGTAAGGTGCTGGCAGCTGTGGGAGAATATCGGGTGGGGCTATTCTTATCGCCTCAGTGAAAGTGAAACCAGACCAACACTCAGTTCATCTGCGCGAAGAGGCGGATGTATGGATGCTGTGGTGAATTTGGAAACAGAACCAACACACACACACACACACACACACACACACACACACACACACACACACACACACACACACTTGTATTTATGGCACGGAGATGCTTTGTTACATACTGCTGCTGGGTGCTAATGGATGCAAGCAACAAGTTCGCGCTCTTCTCGCATTTCGTGCACGAGGCAATTGCGTACAAAGGATTCAATTTTATATATCTTTTTTTTTAAGATTAAGTCAAGCTGCGCTGCTTTAGATAAAAGTGTGTAAAAATATTCAAATGTATTTCCGTGCTCGTGATGAGCTCGATTTTGAATATTAAAGCGCATATTGTATATGCGTTTAATGAGGACGGCCGCGGGTTACTAATACTCCGGATCTACATTTTACTGTAATGGAGAAGATGAAGGAGTCCGACCTGAGTCCGTGTAGCGCGGTCTGGCCAGGTCCCTGAAGTAGTAGATGTAATCCAGGCAGTGGTCGTCCTGCACCTCCCCCTTGGAGCACAGGTCGGAAAGCAGCTCAAGCGCCTTTGGACACATCTCATCCTCTCTTTCTGTAGGCATTGCCCTCCAGCATCCTTCTGACTAGTCGGCCACTGCGGCTGATCCTCCACCACCCCCACCTCTCTCTCTCTCATACACAGCAGAGCGCTCTCACGGTCTCCGCCAGCGCAAAACGACGCACCAGAAACACCGCGGCTACACCCCTGGGTAGGTCCGGTGCCCACGACGCATCCGCGACATTTACTGATGTTCAGTTGAAGTGAGAATAAAAGAGATGGAGGTGTTACTCGAAGTTGTCATGCGTAAAACAAATCCTCCATGGCAGTTTTGTTGTTCGAGAATTAATAAATAGATAAGTAATGAATAAGTAACGGCTGCAATCTGGCGAGCAATTCCTCCTCTTCTATTTTTTCCCCTCCTCCTACCCTCTTAAATATTTTTTTCCCCCCCTTTCCTGTCTGCCGCCGCTGCTCCTGCTGAATCCCAACTGAGCCTCCAGGCTTCAGCAGCACCAGTGAAGGTCCTCGATGAATGCGCGGCTTACACTGCTCTCAGTTATTTATCAATGCACGTTGATGCCTCCATCACCCCCCCAACCCTCTCATCCTGCACCCCTACCAGCAGATAGAGACATCACTGTGTGCGACTTGCCTCAAACTGAACACTTTCCAAATGTCATGAAATCCCTCAGCGTTCCCTTCCTTTTGTCAATGGTCTAATGAGCAAAAAGTTAAAGATGCTTTTCCCTCTCACCTAGTAAACAGATTAGTGCTGAAGGTAATATCCCAAGTGTGCTCCTGTGTTTCTACCAAGGAGAGGGGGCTAAAACACCTGGGAGATAAAGGGTTGGGGGGGGGGGGGGCGCACACAATCCTGGCCTTTACTGGAGGTAACGAAAGGGCCAGTGACCACTAAATGTCACATTAAAGCCCTGGTGGTGGAGCTGATAAAAGGCCTCCCGGCATCAGGCGGTCTCTAGTCCCTTTTATGTGTGTTTGTGAAGTATTAGTTGACGTCCTGTCAATCAACATATAGTTTAAGACACAAGCAAACTATTTAACTGGGGAGCCAGTACACTCTAAAAATGTCACCGTAAATTAACGGTATTTTACTGGCAGCAAGGACGCCAGGAATTTAGCCTTTTTTTTACAGTATAATACCATAAATGGCTTTTACACTATGTTACCGTAAAACGGATTACTGTATGTTACCATAAACTTGAACCAATTGTACTGTGAATTAACTGCCATTTACTGTCAGTCGACGCTAGTAACTTACTGTTTTATTTACAGTGCCCTACCGTAATATACGGTATGTTGTCGTATATTGGATTACAGTTTGTTACCATACGATTACTGTTTTTGTCTTATAAACACCAGAATGTAACCGTATACTTTTGCATTTAATTCCCCACAAATTAAAGAAAGACCACCAAACTAATTTCGGTCATAGTGGTTGGAGTTTATTATATGACTTTAAAACAAAAATGTTAGGCATTTGTAACCAAGAACAAAACATAAAATATGCCGCATGTATACAATAAAAAAATGAATCATAAAATTATTAGGAATAAGGTAAACTAACTGCAACAATACGCTATAGAACACTTTCAACTGACCGCAGCAAACGGCTGGCGTCCTTAATCCAGAGCCTCTGTAAAACCAAAATACCAAAATTTACCAAAATAAAATATTTAGAAACACTGTCATTGGAATATTAAAATTACAAAGATGAGGAAGACCACAAGATGTAAGGAAGGAGAATGTTAATCATGCTAGGCAAATAACACTTGCCAACGTTACTTGAAGAGACGAGGCAATGAGAAACTCCTCCTCCGATGTTGAACTGCACAAGGTGTTCTGGATGAACTGAGATTACGCGTCTGACGTCACGTTCAGGAGCAGTCGGTCACGATTAACACTCAAATGACTTTTTGGCAATGAACACTTTGAATAATACAAATATTTATAATCTTTACATTCCAGCCACTGAAACAACAGCAAAGGTGGTGCATGGGATAGGGAGGGTGTGCTGTGCAGTGCAAGGTCGGCGGTTTGAATCCTGGCTGCTCCCTATGCCAAGTCGAAGTATCCCTGAGCAAGACACCTAACCCCCAAATACTCCACATAAAATTATGTCAAACCATGGGCGTTTTGGATAAAAGTGACAGCTGCATGTATAGTAATGTCCTGTAAGTCATCATTGTATCTCATGAGATACTATCTCATTATGATGACTTACAGGACCTGTTTTTCAGTGGCTGACATGGGCTTCCATACATTAACCTACAACAGATTTAGATGGATTGTCATTCACTGCACTTGTATGTGTATTTCCACCACTTCATAAAATATATGTAACATGCAGTTGAAATACGGTAGTCTGCTGTTATTGTAAATTGACAGCTTTAACTGTTTATTCATGACATTGGCCGTTAATTTACAAGCAAGGGATGGAAATGTTACAGTTATTATGACATACTGTAAGATACCGTTAGAAATGCACCGTAAATTTACAGCAATTTGTTACAGTGTATATCTGTTGGCAGTGTTTTCATTCAAAGATGCTCTGATCAATGATCAAATACTCTTTGTTGGATGTCCTACCTAATTTTCGCTGTTTCAAAACCCACCCCTCACTGCATCTCCGTGTTAACTCTCAATTCATGTCGAGGTATTTTAATGTCTCTGCAGACAGTACTTGTTTCAAGGGAGTGATTTATTATCACAGTAAACAGCAAACAGTGGGGAGTATTTGATCCACTGCAGGTTTTGCAGGTTTTGCATGTCCCACTTACAAAGCATGTAGGAGTCATGTGGCCATGCTGACGCCTGCTGCTGCCATCATCATCATCATCATCATTATTATTTTAGATATTAATCATATTACTGTACTCGTAAACCAACATTACCCTCTCCTAAAGTCTCTGCGCTCTCCCTCCCCACGGGCTTCTGTGGAATGGTGGTTCTATCTGATGGTGGTTGCCCCTGCAGTGGTCCTGCTGTGCGCCTGGCTTACTACTCACAATTACATGAATAATTTCTGTCATAGGAATTGCATGTATTATACATTGTTCATTCTGTACACATCCATTGTAGTCTGTCCATCCCAGGAGTGGGATCCCTCCTCTGACGTTCTCCCTAAGGTTTCTTCCCTTTTTTCCCTCTTGGTTTTTTTCATTTTTTGGGGAGTTTTTCCTGTGCCGATGGTGGGTTTCGGGACAGAGGATGTTGTATGTGTACAGACTGTAAAGCCCTCTGAGGCAAATTTGTAATTTGCGATAATGGGCTATACAAAATAAAATGAATTGAATTGAATTGAATGTAGGAGTTCAACTGTGAGTGACAAAATCTAAAACAAAAATGAATTATGTTACTTCGTCCTTAGGAAGCCCTCCTGTTCGCCACTCATGACCTGTATTAACTGCACCTGTTTGAATTTGTTCATGCACGTCATAATCGTTACAATATTGGTTTGCTATTTTTAGGTAAATCCATGTGCATGCAACAAATTTGAGGAGAAATTTGAACATGCAACAAACTTAGTAATTGTTTTTTACTTTGGCATTATAACTTATTTTTAGCAGAGCCACAGGAGACATATGAATAATTTACAACTTTGAATGGAAAGGCACTACCTGCCACCTCACAAGGCCTTTTGTTTCAAGGAATAGTTAATGTTTCCAAAGATCAACCGACCATTACATTACAGAGGCGATGAGAGTCCAGCTTCTTTTGTAACCACTAGCCTTTGACACCACACAACCTTTTATTTCTTGCAAACACCAATGGTGTTGGTTTGTTGTTTCAATAGAAACTACCTCGGAAGGAAGACATCTTTCACACATAATGTGCAATAAAAATGCTTCTGCACTGAAGTGATTACTACCTGTGAGCCATATTATATAATACTGTCAGACTCAGTGGTCACCAGGGGTCCGTTCCAAGAAGCGGGCTTAGTGGAAACTCAGTTTGTTAACCCTGAGATGAGGGGAAGTCTGGCTTGTCTGTTTCAGAAAGGGGGTAACTAAAGCTCGAGGCCAGTCACCATGGTAACTGAGCCTGTGAACCTAACCTGGTCGGGGGCAGGTTTTCTTCAATAAAACTTGAGTTTCTTTCACAGTCTTCTCTCTCTGACAGCAGCCCAGCCAATCACACAGCGCGCTTTCATTTCCTCATTCATTCAAGTACTCTGTATCAGGCGGATTTTAGCGCAGTTTCCACATCAAACAAAATAAGATCTCTGTTACGTTAAACACTAAAGTGTCCTTTTCTGGACAATCCTGTTGATGAAGCGGTATTACTTCACAGGGTGGTAAACACATCGGGAGAGAATATTGAGGCCCAATTAGATATGTTGTCATTTCCAGATAACTACTTGTTTGAACGGTATCGTCTTTCTTCACACTCCATCAAATATGTACATAACCTCACCCGTCGTCATATAAGTAGCATCCCCCATCGTGGACATGCTCTCACATCCGAACACATTCTTTGTGTAGTATTACGTGTTTCTGCAAACGGCAGTTTCCTTTACAGCATTAGAATATAATATATAATAGAGGAGTTCCACAGGATGCACCTGAATGAAATACATTATAGGTCCAATGCCATTGTACCAGTTTTTAACAGCGATATTGTTGTGATTAAATATGAGCAGTTGTGATTAAGTATGAGCAAATATGTGTACGTCAAGCCTGTGTGTAGTGCATTCTAACGAACAGTGTAAAAACTGTGAATTAGTAAAACATATGGATTATGATTAGTGTGTACATTAAATATTAACTGACAACACTATATTGGAACTTATGCCGCTTCTCTGTCTTTTGCTGCAGTAGCGGTGTTGCTTTTTTTTCTAATTACAGTTTCATACTCGTCGTACGTTTGCATTTATATTTCCAGCTTAATAGGGGTGAATAATTTGTTTGTGGTGGTTGCCATGATAAATCGTAGTATCGTGGCTCCATTCATGCTGCCTTCATAATGCGCTCAACTCTGAAGTCAACCTACTCCGAGTTGATTGAACCAACTCTGCAGCTGTTCTGAAACCCAAAACTCATAGTTTCCCATCTTAGGGTAAATCAACTCTGAGTTTAGGGTTTAACTCAGAGTTTGTCAAACCTCCTACTTGAAACGGACCCCAGGTGTAACTGACCAGTACGTCATCAAAAAACAATTTCTGGGCATGATGCAGGGCTCTTGGTTTAAAACCACATTCTGCTCGACAGTTTAATTTTTGTGTACGTGTAGCTGAGTTTTGGGTGTGTGTCTGCTTATTTGTTTTTTTCGAATATTTGTGACTGCAGTCTGCATTTGATTATGCAAATCATATCGCCTTTGTGTGTGCCTGTGTTTATGGAGCGCCGTTTGTAAAGTGTTGCACGTTTTACATTTAACATTTAGATCTACATTTAACATTTAGATTATTTAACAACTTTGTGTTACTGCCAAACATTATCCTTAGTTATTGCATGAATTTACATTGATTTCTCTCTAAATGTTTGAAAAGGTGACATATGAATATTGTCGTGCTTTTTGGTTCG